TCGCTCCGCTCAGAATCTAAAACAAAAACCCTATTACTTGGCTTGCTTTATAGTTTATTTTGAGAATTCCAGAATTGAMTAGGTTACTCTAATGTACATGTTACGTTTTAATTTTAGTCAATGTATAAGAAAAACTATTGAAATCGAAGACGGTCTAACATTATTCCTAAAGATATTTTATAATCTACCTATATTACTTGAAGTAATATGGTATAAAAAAACTACTAATAGGTTGAACTAATTTTTGTATAAATTATAAAATTAAAATAATAATATTATTAATCGTAGATTATTATAATTAAGTTATAAATACATTTTCCCAATCGACGTAGAGACATAAAAAGGAGTAAAGGTGTTTGTAAAAATGTTGTAAGTAGGTATCTACTCGTTTAATAGTTATTTAATACGTAGCTTTAAATAATTTTGAAAAAAATGTCAAATTTTAAAAATATTGCGATTGTAAACAATCAAGTACATTTTGTGACTTATTGGCGTAGCGTGATATTCGATATTATTTACACGACGTGAATGAGAATACGCATCAACCCGCTGCCACTACTTCTTGGATGGATGACCACCAAATTCTTAGTGGTAAAATCCTTGCCACACATATATGTGTTGCCAACCTACTGTACAAATGGAACTAACCCCTACAATAGCTTATGGCCATAGTTTCCGAGCTTAAGGCCAAAAAAAAAAAAAGAAATATTGAAAAGTTCCTATTACTTATATCCTTTTTTTAATGACAATAAAATAGAAAAAGTGATTTGAGGATAAATTGTTATTTTTTTTTTTTTTTAAACTATGAATATCCGATTTTATCAACTTTTTAACATTAAATGATCATAAAAAATAAATGTGGCCTTAAGCTAGTTTTGTTTTCTAGTAAGAACCACTTATAAGAAATCTTTTATTAAATTTTCAAGCATTAAGTATTCAAAATAAAAGGTTATGCATTTCAAACTATAAAAGAACTCGCGATTTTCACGGACTTTAATCAAAGTTCTAACTTCAACGCTCATAAATAATTAACTTAAATTTACAGCAACTTTTTTTAAATTACATTAAAACCAACTTATAAKCTCTKCTACTAGAAAATAAAAAAAATATCATTGTAAATCAATAAATAAAATAGTCAACCATTTAAAATGTTTGTAAGAAGTAAAAACATCAAAACTATTTTGAAGATGATATAAATCCATTAACTACATTTATTGTTCTGCTTAAAATTTAAAAATGTTCATGTTTAATGAAAATTGGCTTAACGGACTAAATATCATATTGTGCACAGGCTATACACAGACRATTGATAAGTAATTATTAATRAACCAACGACGCTATAAATATTAATGATTGCGATAAGTTACCTATAATTTGAATGACAAAATTTCACTCGAAGTTTGTTGGAGAAAAAAGTCACAGATCTCGCTAATAAATTCATCAAATAGAAGAAAACAATAAAACTGGTGTCAAATAAATTATTTATCCACTATAGATATTTGATTTGCATTCTTAAATAATGGCTTTTTGTAAGGGAGATAAACACTGCCAAATGTGATTCATGTTGGGGTGATATTTCATAGAAATCTAGACAAAAGAAATGTGTCGTATTCGAAAAATTAATAAATCCGACCAAGTAATAATCGAACGGCCGTCTGAAATGTACACTAAAGCCACATGTGACAGCAAAATGCCTGGTAACTATACTAATGCTGATAATTTGGCGAGGCATTATTATTATTATGGTTATAAACGATATTTTGATTGTAAATACGTTGTATCGACGTTTGAGTCAATTGGTGCTTAGATGAAGAACTTAGGATTATACTAACAAACTACAGGTTACAGTTATGTGTATAATGTGTATAACATGAGCAGGTATTAGTGGATTTACGAAACAGTTATCGTCACACTCGCAATAGTTMTAGATAACGCTTATTGGGAAGAGCTATGAAGATTAAAAATTTGTCTCCGATTCTAGTACTGACTGAACTAAACATTAAGACAAGACATACAGATTAGACATCTGAAACTTTCGATAACTACTAAAATCTAAAATTATATATTATGTTTAAAAAAAGTCCTGCGGTCCATTGAGACCTTATACAATATAAATACCTACAATGGAAGGACACAATTTGATTTTACTGTTTGATCAAAAATATAGTTAAAGTTATATTGGTATACGAGTAAATGTACCGAACGATTTAATATAAAAAATGTTGTAAAAGATATTTAAATTTATTGAMACATGTTTTTCAAAATATCTAATGAAACAAGAACGACACGATTGCAGTTAAGTGTACAATAAAAATACGGCCGGTGTAGCTGAAAAGAATGATGACAAAAAGGGAGACAATAACCAACACAAATAGTATACTTAGCTATACGTACAACGGCGTAGTGATTCACAATATAATTKACATCAAAGAGATTAAGTTTAAATTCTATTATAGTATTGAACATTGATCAAGAATATTGATCGATAATGTACGTCAGACAACAACAACAACAACAACAACAACAATAATAATAATATAAAATGTATTTACTGACAATAATGAGAGGTGAATAATATACTTTTTTCTTTTATAAATATATTAAAAGAGAGACTTACCATTCAATCCACTACTATTAAGAGTGTACTAGAATGTATGAAAATAAATCTGKTAGGAAGAGTCAAATTCAATGCATTATATTTATARTATGTACATTTATTGTTTCAATAAATTATATTAAATTGTGATCAAATGTATTTGAAGAGAATGTTCGAATAAATTTGAATTGAAATAAAATATGCCATCGCAAAGGTACTGAGAATATTTATTATATTTAAAACCTATAACCTCGCACAGTTGGTTTCTCAGTGTTTTCCAGTTATCAAATTGGAATTTTCTTCAACTATTATATTAGTTGCACAGTTGCACCACTTGCACTGCTCCTCTGTCTATAAAAATAATAAACAAAGTTTGATACTTCAGACTAACTCAATTTTTATTTTTACGA